TATGGAATGACCAATTTATAGATATTTATTCTCAGTCCGACAGGCTGTTTGTTTGAATTCCACCTCTATCCGACGCTGGTGGATCGGTGTTTCAGGCGGCGGTATAACGCTCGTCAACATGCACATGGTCCTCAGTTCGATTTCCAGACACAAACGAATTTGAAGTTCTTCATGAGTTATGTCTAATACCCGGAAGATATCTTCTTATTGCGAACGGATCTCTGTTAATTTACGTTTCGAACATTTTTAGTGGCTGGAATTTTTAATTTTCTTCATGTTAGGAATCAATAATTCCAGGACTAGTATATGCACTGCATTTTCACAGTAATAGTGGTAGTTATGCTGGAAATCTCAATGTGAAAACATGAAACACTGCGTCTTTACACTACTACACGATTTGTGAATCTTATTCACTGTGAATGCACTTTGGGAAGTCGAAAATTCCATCAGTCATCTTCTACAGCGGAATTTCGAATATTTTTATATCACACAATGAAAACACGTGAATAATCAATCAAACTCTCAGTAGACTTACTATGTTGTCTATTCAAATGATGATTGCAATATGTCATCAACGGTTCATGGAAGAATGTTTTCATCGGCTTCATGGTTGTTCGGAGAGTGGAAAAATGGAGAATGACAAGCGATATTTATTCCACTTTATTAACGAAATACACAGAATCACGATGTCATCGAATAATCCTTGGCTGAGGAGAACATGTGGATTGATTTTATGTACGGATGTTTCGCAAACTGATGAAGTGCTGCAATTCTGTGAATTGAGACCTCGATGAAACCTAATCGTGTGACTGTGAGGATCGTACTGTTGGTTTTGTGGAATACGGAGATGATTAACCTTATTATTGGGAAGAGAAATAGGAGACCTCTTTTGCATATGGGAAATGTTCTGCTTCCTCTGAAATCTTTGATTAAGTGAATCGAAAAGCTGTGTGTACATTTGGAAGAGAAAATCAATGACATGCACACCTGACACTTGGATCTTACTTTGTGTCACACAAATCGGACATACTTAGAAGGAGAATCTAAGTAGAGTCGCCATCGAGCTGAGACGAGAGAGCAACCAGCTGTGCAGTATTTCCGAGTTATTCTAATAGTGATGGAGTAATCCAACCTTGATTGTAGTAGGATTTTCAGTTACTGATTTCAACAGTCGCCTTTACAAATAAGCGTAATGATGAAGTCGATAATTTAAGTGGTTGAAGATATTGGGGTATTAGTCATTTGTGAGGAGGCTATTTCCTGAATATGCAATCTCAGTGTGAAAAGTGAAGCGTACTAGTTGGTATAATGGCTTCTCGACTACTCATATCAGCCAGTAGTCCACATTGCGTATCTCTCCTCCTCCTCCTCAAACTCTGGATACCACATATCGCGACGTGGTGTGATGAAGACACCACTGAATTCACTCAAAATACCATATCATGTTTCATCTGTAACAACGTATTTTCCTTGATTATGATTCATAGTCACGTGATTCGTATATTCTATTGAAAGTCAGAGTTATCGTGGTCTATACTGATGCGGTCATCTTCTCGCGAAAAAAGTAAACGCTATCTAGTTTTTATACTAGGACTTTTATGAAAGGTCGTTTGTTTCATATTCTGACACACATAAGGATAGAGAAGTGTATCGAAAGTGAAAGCTTACCTGAATCATAGGACAATGTTCCGTGAGTGTAGTGGTGCCTCCTTGGTTAGGAATACCTCTGAAATATTGTTCGGGTGCAGGAAGATGTCTGGTGAACCTGGAAACTGCACATATGCCGAAGGCTTTCTTGTGATAACACATCAAAGAGCTCGGTTCTTCACAATACGGTTCAATACTTCTTCCCCTACAATATCACAAATATCAGAAGTACATCAGCTTATTTATTGTAAACACGTGTGCTATACATGAAAACAATCAGTGATATATTTACACATTCATCACAACATTCATCATGCATTGGAAATCTTACTGTTGCTTCATTCTGTTGATATACGCGTAGCAGCTTTCCATTACAAAGCCACAGCCAAGTCCCCTTCCGTAGTCCCACTTTTCTGCCAGTGAGTAATCAACGTCCCACCAGCTGTTATTGGAACAAACAAAAACAAAGCCAAAAGCATGTGATATTCAAAACTGTGTATGCGAAATGAGACAAATAACTAGTGTATTGCCTTGTCTGATATCGGAGAAGCTGATTGTCACTATAAGTGATGTCTGCTTTGACAGGCTATCTGCTACAATTTCGGTAGTGTCAAGTTTAATAGAAATGAAGTGAGTGACACAATTTGTGTGCTGTGTGGAGTGTATTCAGTGATTGTCGTACACATTCCAATACACAAGGTCTGAATGGAAATGATCCCACCGTAAAATTCATTCGTCGACTAGGAAGTGGTGCATTTGTACTCTGGTCTTATTCAAGCTAACATGTAGAAGGAGAAATATTTGCTTGATTACGTCAACTTACCCAGAATCTTGATAGAAAGCTAATGTCAGTCGTGAAGTGACTGCTTTCACTCCTGTTACACCTGCCATGATTTCATCCTGCAAGAAAAATCAGGTTGTGTGGTTGTTATAATTCATTAAAAGTCACATTACAAAAACTTCACAACATAATTCCAATATGTTTTGAAAATACACTCAGCTGATTGTCTTATTCTATTGACTTGGTGTCGTAGTGAGCCAATGTGGTGTTTTGTAACCGCCTTGGTCAATTTCTGGAATGTGTGAGGTGGAGAGGAGAAGATGATATATTGACAAGTGAATACTCCCAGTTATCACAACACTAATTGTTACGAATACTTCGGGTAGAATTGGCTATGCTTTTGGGTGGTATATGAGGATCTGTTCTGTGATGGTGATAATTCGCAAAACAAAGCAATATGGTTAGTTGAGTTGCTTCATTGAATGTTGATATAACTGTATGTTTACCCTATTCTATCATACACGTATCCATAGGTACCGTAGTCTTTCTTTACAGGATATTGATGCACGTGACGTATAACAGGATGCAGTCAGCTTGCGAGAAATGCTCACAGCTTAGTGTCCATCTCCACTCTAGTACTTCTCCTAATTTGACTTGACACGTGAAATGAAGACGACTGGATTTCCAGTCATACGAAGTAGAAATGTCTGTACAAATACTTCGTTGCTTTCTGCATATGCCTTAACTGAGAGAGAATTACTTCGTCCTATTGCCAATGGTGACTTGAACGAGTGGTTTTATTAAACGCATGTGAATCAATGAACCAACTGTGATTGTCGAAATTAGATATTCATTCTTTTGTACATACAAACAAATACCTGTAGTATTAAGAAGATTATTTACTAATCGACTTACACCAACAACCCTCTTTTCAAAATGTGTACCGATTGTCCCTTCACCACCTTCATTCTCGATGTCGATTCCATCGAGATTTGGACAGTTGAAGTGTCTACGTCCTTCCTCCTGAAAGCATGAAAGGTGTGTATGATGTAATGTATTCTACAACAGGGAAGCTCAACAGTGCGAAAAGATATTTGAAAATTATCTCACTTGCTACCCATAACACATTTGAAAGTATGACTATTGACATTGGTTAACGACGTCAATTATGGTTTCTACCATAAATACAAGTCGAAGTAATCCCGTCTAACTCCTGTGTTGGGTTCAGTCAGTACTAATGGAGATATCGGTTTCCACTGGGCGCTTTCAAACAATATTTGTAGTCATAATTATTTCGTGTCATCTAAGTTTCATCCACTCTGAACTCACACTACGTCGAGATCTAGTAGACTGAGACTGGTAGAGAGGGGAATGAAGCCAGCTATATAACTTACGTGGAGAAGCAAGCTCCGTAAACCACCTAGTTTCAAAACAGGCAGAGTTGATAATCCAGTAAAAATACTTACCAGTAGACGGGGTGTGACGAAGGATAAGAATGCTTTACGGAATGTTCCTATGGCCGAAACCCATGGACGGCTGATTCGTCTGACAGTATTTTCACTGGAAGAGAGATCGAATATTATTATTAGTAGTAGTAGTGAGAGGGAGAGTTTATTTAATTAATTAGGATGTGTAAACATGCAATAATCACGTTTAGAAACAATGCAGTCTTGGATGATACATAGTGAGTCGACAAGGTTGTCGTATGATATTCAGATATCGAGTGGTGAGAGGTGTATCACCAAGGTGATGTTGATGGTGACAAAGATGGTGATACAATGAAAGATGTCAGAATCAACTGGGAAGACTCGTTGTGTGCTCCTGACTTACATCTTCCTTTGTGACACTGATATTCTTTCTTCACATGTGATAAGCATCAGTTCAGAAACCTCCTTGCCTTACATGATAATGAGAAAGTAAATATTTTGTAATGATATTGTCTTCGTGAGAATACTGACTGTGGGAACTATTATCTCGACTCTTGTGCTACCATAAACACGAATTATCAGTGAATTGGTTTTCAAGGGTACACGCAGTGTACCAGTATCTCAGCTACAATTTATAGAGAGTAATGCTTGACAAACTATGCAATGATATAACCCCGAAGAGCCTGTATTTCCGTGTTGAGACTGAAGTGTTTAAAAATTCCGGCGGTCGAATTAAAAATTGATGATGAAATCCTGTTTCCCCAGTGCATTCAAAGGCGGCCTATGTCAGTGGGCGAAATTATTGGAACAGTCTTTGTGGACAATATGTGCAAAGGATACATCTTAAGTGAGTGCTAGAATAATAACAAATAGATCTCCCACGCTATGAGAAAACCCACTTGTGGTTCATATAACCTCGAATATGAAATATTTGGAAGGATGATATATGTCCTGCGTTGAATACGGCATGTTATTTAGTTTTCAGACATGGTGTTTGATATGGAAATCGGTCATCATCTTACTGACAGAGTAATCGGAATAGTCGGTTTATGAAATCAGCTTCAATACTTATCAGTAAATTCTACCAGACGATGAAGATTTATTCCAGTGTTTATTTACCAATATGAAATCATGGCGAAATTTTCTCACCTTGGTTCATAATGTCTGAATTGATTCATTCGTGGCTTGCCTGTTCTAGGGTCCCTGGGTGTTCTTGGATTCCCATTTTCATCACGCATTAAAGCGAAACTAGTTTTCACAAATCCCTGTAGAATTGTCAGAAAGATTCGTGTTACATTGTGAATGTGGTTAACACGCAAACACACTCTCAGGCACACACACACACACACACAAAGACTGACACACAAAGCAGACGCAAACTGGCACACAACTCGAATTTCCACATCTTCATTCAATGATGACTACTCTGAATGGGTTGGTGAACCGAATATTAATGATAAAGTGCTAGCTGTCAAAAATGAATAAAATGCTTCCTTTATTGTCATTTCCAGGTGGTCAATGATATTAAGTCTGAAGTTCAGATGTGGTGGGAAGAATGTCCAAGCATTAAATTGTAGACTTGGACTTGTTAATGTTGCGATGCATGAGAATAAATGCATGTGTTTGTTGTTTGTAGCGTGACGAATACAGAGTTAAGAAACTCGCCCTCAAATTGCTAGTGAAAATGAAGTGTGAACATTTATATCGGTTTGAGGAGAAACATCAAACACGTGTTTGCTACAACAGATGGTTATTCTGTATTTATGGCTCGCATTTAAAATATGTTTTCACTTCAAAATACATTCAACTAGACATAACATTGAAGAGATGGATACACAGTAACATACCAAAGCATGTCCGATTTCATGAATAGCTGTTCCAACTAACATCGTTTTACCAGGTTCGTCGACTTCCATTTTTGCTGGACAGAAGTTGATTGCTCCCATGATTGGTCTAAAATATCAGTGGGAAAAGAAATGTCGGAGAGTTCGGAGTGATTATTGACTGTGCACTGTGAGTTGAATTTTCACATGTGTGATACATATAAGATTGCTTTGGATAAATGTTTCATTCAAGTGAAGTCTTCGACCTGTGTGGAAAGGTGAAGGCTTCTAGGATTTCATCGACATCAGTAATTGTCCTAAGACGGATTTTAACCAGTGTAATCTAAGTCAGTCTCATTGAGGAATATCTCATACAACATAACTCAGAGAGTCTGAAGGAAATGAGGAGAGATGATTGATGTGTATGCTCCACCTAGTATTTACACCTAATATTTATATATATATATATATATATATATATATATATATATATATATATATATATATATATATATATTTGGCTTAACGCTTTACCTAATCAGGTCTTTTGTTACCTTGAGGGTGATGGATTATGATTTCACTGACCGAAATACTACATCATCTCAATAGGAGTTTCCACATGATTATCAGTGGTTAGATAAACTTACTCTCACCTTGTAAATAAGTATCAATACTCCGTCAGTATGGCTCACCCCACAGGGTTCTACAACTATCAAACCATACAGACGTTATCAAATTGCTTAGAGAAGGTTACTTAAAAGACAAGAAATTTCACGTAATCTGGTAGTTTAAGGCAACTATAGTACGAGACAGTGAGTCTCTGGTCACTTTACATTCTTCGAATATCTCCTTTAGAACACCAGCGAAAATCGACACCGGTGGTCCATCGTTCCACCGTTTTCCACTTAATTTGTTAGGAAAGGCGAAATTCATTTTGGATAACTTCCATAAACCTAAACAAATAATCCATATTTCGAGATGTCATACAAAATATAGCACACAAGGTGTTGCACAATGAATATGACAGTCTACTGAATGTTTTCGTCAGCCTGCAGAAACTGGGATCTACTGAGGTTTGCCTAACTTAGTTCAAATTCACAACAATTATGCATTCAATAATTAATGTACACATAATCTACCTATCAGTTGTTGGATGCATTTCACATGGACCGGCATATGCCAATGTTGACCCACTGGTACAAGCTCCTTTATTTGCAGCCTCCACAAATATCACAAACTGATTTGGTGCAAATCCTGGCCCGTCTTGGTAAACATCTCGTATATTGTGACCACCAGTTCCTTGAGCACATCCCTGTGAATAGAAATAGTAATAATAAATGAATAAACGCCTTTCAATAAATTGAACGACTTATGTGCATTGAGAGAATGAGCTTATGAATATAGCGAAACATTTTATCGACCAGAAACATTATTTGTTCTTGAAAGTGTTCTCTGGATACTGTGGAATTTCTTATATTTTCCGTCAAGCCATAATTATTGTCTTTCTGCAGCACGAAACGGGGTACGTTAGTGATCTCAATATTCACAATTGTAAGCTTATTTCTTATCTGATTGAAGAACGATGTCCAAATTGATTGATAAATGTAAATCTGGTCCCCCTAGAATTCATATTATGGTGAAAATAGATGAACATTCAGAGAGTGTCACAGAATGTTTCTTTGCTCTCAGAATCGTCAATATCACAGTCATAATTTGCAGTAAACATCTTTGCTTATTTCTGATTAATCGAATCTGAGATAAACTGAATTTCCCTTCGGTTGCCACACTATCCAACCACATGCATTATCCACATCACGAAGTCGCTTCGTCGTCCCTTCTCAAGGAATTATTCGAAAGAGGCTACACATCTTTGATGACCATCTTGATGACTCCAAGTAATGAAATGAGTAGATGAAACTTACGGAAGCATATTGATCTGGAACTCTGTGATCATAGCATTTAGCATGAGGTTTGCATCGTTGTTTGCAGAACTTCTTTCCTGTGCGTCCATCTGTGAAGTAGTATGGTTCAACGCATCCTCTGTCAAAGGGAGATATAGAAAAGCGAACTTGTAAACTGACGGATATTGAAATCAGTACATAAATAGATTAACACTTTTATGAAACAACGTGAATGGCCTCTTATTTTACTTATGATGGCCATGAAGATATACATATAGACAAGTGAATTCGGCTGACGACACACACTGAGCAATTACCTACCTTTGAATAAGGAGTTTTCTGTTTGGTGGTCTTCTCACACTCAGCGTTCTTTCCCAGAAATCAAGTGCTCGTTCAACGACTTCACCCTATTCGCGAAGTAAAGTGAAAAGAGGTAATATTCAATCAAGGAAATAGTAATAACAGTATAACATAAAATGTCTTTCAGAACAACGCTTTATGTGAAGGACTGACTGAAATAATTTCACTAATTATGAGGTACGATTTAACTACACATGGAGGCACAGTGTTTACTGTCAAGAACAAGGCGAGATTACAATTGCACAAACAGAATCAAGGTACAGGGATTTCCAATAACTCAGATTTGAACTCTCTCTCTCCTTCTTTAGCTTGTATGTAGTAAAGTGTGATTGAAATATATGCCATTTTGAAATAATCAAGCTATGACTGCAAGTGTTGTGAGGAAGTGATAGTGGAAAGTCGGAGAACGTCGTTGAATGTGAATTTGTCACCCATGTTTCATTCATTTGGAGGAACAAATGTGTTGAAATACTTCACTGAGTAACTATGATAGCTCACTTCGAATCCTAGTCATTAAGATGAACACAACTCAAAACAGACATACACTGAATGTCGGCTGATTTTGAGGCATAACTAAGTTCAGGCAGAAATACATGCATTTATAAATTCACTTGATTGGTTGATTGATTGATTGGTCTTACCTTGAATCGAGGAAATAACGGATGTCTTTGAATGGTGTGATCATAATGCACAATAAATTTGAGTCTGTTGCCACCATATTGACGCTTGTCGACTGGTTCGCCCAAAATACCGAAGTTCTGAAGAGAATGTCAGTTAGAAATTCAATACTCTCTCTCTCTCTGTGTACTTACCATAGTGATATTCGGCATAATCTCACAAACATATTCACACTGCACCACTACAGCCAAACTGATGATGCAGACGAACAACAGAATATTCCAGGAACTCTGAGCCATTTTACGATTCTTCTAGTACGAATGTGAAGACAATAGTGAAGTAATGCTGTATGAATCCCATCATTTCATGCACTCCTTTATATACACAAAATGATGTAGGCTGAATCAATGAGAATGCGATTCATCTCATGAGAAATGAATGATATCGAAATAGTACATTTCTGTAATTTGGTGAATTGTGTGACCTTCGCTGAAAGTTCAAATGTAAGTGAGGTTCTTCCAGAATTGAGCACTGTTCGTCTGTAAATGGGATACAACTAGTGCAGTCACATGGAAAATCTTGTAGATATGGAACCACTGTGTTGAAATTTGGTCAAAATTGAAGATAAATAATACACCTTCCACCTTTATCTTGAACATCAAATCTTACCATCACGAGTCTTTATTCCACTCATCTTTTGTACATAGTTTGTGTTTCTATTATCGCTTTCATGTATATCTTATTATGGACGACAGTTGTACTGAGTATTTTTCTTCCAGGACAACATTATCTGTCATTGAGATGAATCTCCCGAATAGTGTTTAATTGACATTGTGAATAAGGACAAAATAGTTATACTATCTCATTTGAAAACTGCTGTTCAAACGCCTTTAATTGAACAACTGAGATTATACTATCAGTATTTCAAATCTGGTTGCTTTAGTTTGATGATTTTGAAATTGTTTACCGACAAAAATTAGATTGTAGAATTCAATGGGATATACTTAGAACCCACACATTCAGTAAAGGAAGATTTCAGCAACATATTCTGCAGATTTTCCATATGTCCTTCTTTTGTGTGCTAATTTTCCTCCTGGGGGAGAAAATTGTCTTTATAGTTAAGGCGTATACTTCTCAGCTATAAATCTTCACCAGTCACGAAAGCACTTCAAATATGGAGGTTTACTCACGACATAGGGCCTGATAAAATGTAGATGGATAAATTCAGATGCAGTGTATATGAAAACTCAAGTCACATTTGATTGTGAATGTGGAGTCAACCAACTCATTCCATATTAGTTTGTTTATTAAATGTATCACACAGTGAAACAGTATTACTTACTGGATGACGTTTCGAACACAATTTATTGTTCATAATCATATCAATTTTTGTCACAAGACTTCGAGATTTGATTTTTATAGTTTTCTCTGTCTTCTACTATTTGTTGTATGGGCAGTAGAATTTTCCATATATCTGGGACACATATATCAACCAACTCAATTTGATCCATTCTTCTAAATGTCATATCTCTGATTCTGATTTTCTGTGAACCCCGTACTGTGACATATAGACCGTTCAGTAAACAGATTAAATTGATTTCTGTCATTTGATTTTCAAAAAATTATCTGAGTTCATTTGCTTTCACGATGAAATTGTAGGACCATTCGAACCACCATCGGTTTGTTCCATTATTTGAATAATCTAAAGTATTATAATATATTGCGACAATATCGCTCAGTTCACTAGCCTGGTTTAAGTCTGTAAGTGATGAAGGGGTGAGTGTAGAACTAGAACAATCAGGCCGACATCGTGAAACGACACGCTACTATCGCCACTGAAATTTCAAGGCACAGAAATCATAAACTCATCTGTCGATTAATCAGGAATATTCATCCCCTCCAAGATGGATGACCTCACTGGATGAGAATCCTCACGAAGCAGGTCAACCGATGTGACCACTCTCTGGATGAAAGCAAATATACCCATGGGGACACAGAATATTCCTGCAATGTTGTTTGAGGCTGTTTGGCGTGGCTGCTGAGATCCCAAAATAAATAAGAGGATGTGGTATCGAAACCTCGCCTAGTTAACTGGCTTGCTAGGCTTTTGGCCTGTCCCAAGCCCGGCTAAAGCAGCAGTGTAGAGCGTAGGGCTAGTAACCCTACACCACTTAACCTATCAAACCAATAAAAAAACTTCAACACAAAAAGTATATTAAGAATAAAAAAATTCAATGAACCATTTTATTTTACGCTGAAATCAAGGGGGCGAAATTACACACCGGCTAGTGAAAGTCTTCGGGAAGCCAGTTAGCCAGGCGATATGTCTTCTCTTGATGAAAGCAAAAGTAAGAATGGGTATTCGGAATGTCCGTACAATGCACGAGACTTGGAAGGCTGCCCAGGTAGCCAAAGGGATACGGAGATATGGCTTAGAAGTACTGGGTATCTGTGAAAGCAGATGGAATGGATGTGGACTGTCAAAATTGTCAACTGGAGGATCGGTATTCTACTCCAGTCACCCTGATGACAACCACGAGCACATGCAGGCACTGAGTTGCTATAATTATGTCTCCAGTGGCAGCCAAAGCCCTAATATAGTGGGAACCAATTTCCTCCTGCAGGATCATGACTGCATGATTTAGCTCAAAAGGAAGGAAAGAAGGTCACAATTATCGAATGCTATGCACAGTGTTACAAACAACGCTGAACAAGAAAAGAAGGAGGATTTTTACAGACAACTACAAATATTAATAGACAACAACCCAAATGATGACATCAAAATCATTGTGGGCGATATGAGTGAGAACTGAAGTGGAAGCAGATAATTCAGGAAGACAACTCATCATGGGTCGAGAGACTATGGCTCGGCGAAATGAATGAGGAGGGAGAATTATTCTCAAACTTCTGTGCTTTCAGTGATTTGTTGATCAGAGGCAGCGTATACAAACACAAGGATATACACAAAGCAATATGGATTTCGTCTGACGGACACACCACAAACCAAATAGATTTCATATCAATCTCAAGGAAGTGCAGACGCAGCTAGTCTGCTGGATACAAAGTCGTTAAGGGGAGCAGATGTGGGCTCAGACCATCATCTAGTTCATAAGACCTTCAAGGCGAAGCTGAATTCCCTGAAAACAAATGGAGACAAACCACAGTTCAAGTTCAACATTCAAAAACTGAAGGACGAAACTACAAGGGATGCCTTAGCTACAAATCAGATCAGATTGAAATTGCACACACTACGTGGTATCACTGAGGAAACCTGTGTGGAAGAACATTGGAAATAACTCCCTGAAGTTGATGTTCAAGGAAACATGTACAACTGTTCTGGGAAAAAGGAAGAGGAATGGCTGTCATTGGATACCTGGAAGCTAATGGAGGAGAGGAGGATGGTGAATGAGAAGATGACTCAATGCAAAGATGCAAAATAGAAGGAGAAGCTGAGCTGAATGTACACTACACCAAAATGAGAAAGTGAAGAGGAGTGCTGGAAAAGACAAAAGACAATCTTACGTCATACTGGCAAATGAAGGTGAATAAGCCACAGGAAAATAGATCTCAGGACATTATATCAAAAAACCAGGTTTCTGTCCGGAGAGAGATCAACTCAGATGATGAAACCAATAAAAGATACTCAAGGGAACCTGATCACCAGAGAGGAGAAACAGAACAAACAACGGGCTGATCACTTTAAAGGACTCTTGAATCAACCACCACCAGTAACTCGCCCAGAAATACCAACAGCAGCACGCACGGAAATGCCAGTGGACACCACTCCTCCAGCAAAAGAAGAAGTCTTGAATGCGATCAAGCTACTGAACGCCGGCAGGGAAGGCAGCAGGACCGGACGGAGTTCCTTCCGAAGCACTGAATGCGGCCCCAGATATTACAGTAGATGTTCTCACTCAATTACTGCTAAACATTTGGAAAGAAGGAGAGGTGCCTGCCAATTGGAAAATGGGCTACCTCGTCAAGCTGCCAAAGAAGGGTGACTTACGCATACCTCTGCAAGAACTGGCGTGAAATAATGCTCTCATCCACGCCAAATAAATTACTGAGTCGCATCATCCTAAGGAGAATAAAGGATTCACTGGATGCAGAATTCCATCAACCAGAACAAGCTGGCAAGATTCAGGAAAGGTAAATCATGTGCTGATCAAATTGCAGGTCTACGCATCGTCATCGAACAAAGCATAGAATGGCAGTCAAACTTCTACCTCAACTTCATCGATTTCGAAAAGGCTTTCGACAGACAGCGTTGACCAACAAGTAATCTGGAATCTGCTTCAACACTACGGCGTGCAGTGCCCAAATCTTTATCAACCTCATTCAACACCTGGCTATATGAAAATGCCTCGTGTCAGTGATCTACAACGGAAAACTCAGTGACGCCTTCGAAGTGAGTACAAGAGTAAGACAAAGCCAACTGCCTATTATTACCAATGATATTCTTAGCTGTGGTGGAGTGACCAGATTATGCATCAGACTGGGTAGCGAGGAGACAGGAATACGTTAGGCCAGTGGTATGAAGACTCTAGAAGATATGGATTTCTCATGTGGATGATATATGTTCAATGTCACACAGACTCGATTACTTACAAAGGAAAACCAACAAACTAGCTGAAGAAGCTGGCTAGCATCGAAGACAGGACTCCAAGCGAACCTAGAAAAGACAAAAATTAGATTGTAGAATTCAATGGGATATACTTAGAACCCACACATTCAGTATAGGAAGATTTCAGCAACATATTCTGCAGATTTTCCATATGTCCTTCTTTTGTGTGCTAATTTTCCTCCTGGGGGAGAAAATTGTCTTTATAGTTAAGGCGTATACTTCTCAGCTATAAATCTTCACCAGTCACGAAAGCACTTCAAATACGGAGGTTTACTCACGACATTGGGGTTCATAAAATATAGATGGATAAATTCAGATGCAGTGTATATGAAAACTCGAGTCACACTTTGTTGTGTACTCGTCGCTGAATTATTGTTATGGACTGGTCGAGAAATTAATAGTCCTGACGCGAGAAGGCGGAAATCAGAAGACCACTAGGTTTGCGATGATACTTCTATTGTCCAAACACAAGGAGACGAAAATAAATGGTCTCACACCAAAGTGATAAGTAAGTCAAGTAGTTGTAAAGTAAAGTAGTTCACACAAATTGTTAATGCGAATATATATAAACAATTCAGACAAGCGTGG